TTGAGGCCATCTTGGGCTCCCAGGAGGCCCAAGATGTCCAGTTTCCACCGGATGTGAGGGGACGAAATCGCATTCGAAAGGAGAGCCCCCCACCTGGAAATCGGTTTCGTGTTCGTGTCGTGCGAGCGGTCGAGGCGAAGCTGCGTGGGCACGCGCGAGGAATGGTGCCGCCGTGGCTAGGGGCTGTGGTGCCGGTTGTCCGTTCCTCCCCCCCCTGGCGCGTGGTGGCCCGGGGTGTCCCGTCGGTGGCGCGGGGGTGTCCCGTCCGCGTCCCGTCGGTGGCGCGGCGGTGTCCCGTCGGTGGCGTGGGATGTCCCGTCGGTGGCGCGGCGGTGTCCCGACGGTGGCGCGGGATGTCCCGTCGGCTGCGCGGCGGTGAGATCTGACGTGAAATTGGTAGTGAGGTCGATTGTGTGATATCTGTTGTGAGATCGGCAGTGAGATCTGTCGTGAGATCGATGGTGGGATCTGTTGTGGCATCGATCGTGGGATCTGTCGTGAGATCGATGATGGGATCTTTCGTGAGATCTACACTGGGATCGGCAGCGATGACGATACTGAAATCGATCGTGTGACATTGATAGTGGGCCCGAAGGTACAAGAGTGAGTTCAACTGACAGATCGATGATCAGATCGATTGGAGATCGATGGCGGGATATGTTGTGAGATCGCTTGTTAGACCGATAGTGCGTTCGATGGTCAAATCGATAGTGAGGTCGATTGAGAGATGGATCGTTGGATCTGACGTGGAATCGATAGTGAGATCGATTGTGAAGTCGATAATGACATCGATAGTGAGATCGCTCGTGAGATCTATATTGGGATCGACAGTGAGACCGATAGTGAGATGGATTGTGAGATCGATTGCGAGATCGACCATAAGACCAATAGTGAGATCGCTGGTGAGATCCATTCTGATATCGGTAGTGAGACCGATCGTGAGGATGGTTGTGAGATCGATAGTGGGCCCGAATGTAAGATCGATGTTGAGCCCGATTGTGAGATCGATTGGGAGATCGATAGTGCAATACGTTGTAAGATCGATGGTCCAATTGTTGTGAGATCGATTGGGAGATCGACAGTAGGATCTGTTGTGAGACCGACAGTGAAATCAATAGTGATATCCATTGGGAGATCGAGAGTTTGATCGATGTGAGATCGATTGAATGAGACGTTGGTTCCCCATCTCCCCCCCCGAACCACCATATCACCCCAAGTGTGGTCGTATAGGGCTACGTGTTGGCTGGAGGTGAGGGGTTGAGATCGCAGTGGAACGGAGAGCCCCCCACCTGGAAATTGGTTTCGGTTTCGTGTTCGTGTCGTGCGTGCGGTCGAGGCGAAGCTGCGCGGGCACGCGCGAGGAATGGTGCCGCCGTGGCTAGGGGGCTGTGGTGCCAATTGCCCGTTCCTCTCCCCCCTGGCGCGTGTTGGCCCGGGGTGTCCCGTCGGTGGCGCGAGGTGTCCCGCGTCGGTGGCGCGGCGGTGTCCCGTCGGTGGCGCGGGGTTTCCCGCGCGGGCGCAAGGTGTCCCGCGCGGTGGCGCGGGGTGTCGATGAGATCGATCGTGAGATCGATAATTTAGTGAGATCTGTCGTGAGATCGATTGTGAGATCGATGGGGAGATCCGCTGTGAGATCGATAGTGTTATCGCTTGTGAGATCTATAGTGGAACCGTCAGTGAGATCGATTGTGAGATCGATTTTGAGATCAATAGTGAGATCGATAGTGAGATCGATTGTGGGATCGATAGTTTGCTCCATAGGGAGAACTGTTGTGAGATCGATGAGGAGATCGATTATCAGATCGATGGCGAGTTGGATTGGAGATCCGTAGTGAGATCTGTGGTTAGATCAATCGTGAGATCTGTTGTGATAGTGAGTTCGATTTTGGATCGATGATAACATCGATTATGAGATCGATCGTGAGATCAGTTGTGAGATCGATTGTGAGATCGACCGTGAGATCTGTTGTGAGATCAACAGGTACATCGATAGTGAGATCGATCGAATGAGACATTGGTCCCCCCTCCCCCCCGCACCTCGGTATCACCCGAAGGGTGGTCGTACAGGTACGTTTTTGGTCCCCAGAATGAGGGTCGGAAAATTGGTACGCATATGAGGCGCGACTCCAGGGGTGGGCTAGGGGGAGACGTAATGATTGAACATGATTCTACATTAAGCAATTATTACGCATTCGTTGGATACATGAACTCATTGCATTGCGGCGTTCGCCGAAAGCCGCTGCCCTTCTGGGCAGGGATTCAAGAGGCTTGCGCCATTCCGCCAAGCCCAGGAGGAATCTGGCGGTGGTGGTGAGGACAGCGTCGATGAAGTACTGGCCGACGAAGACGTCCGCGGGTGAGGCCGTGCAGGGCACTAGGTTGGGAGTGTCTGGATGTCGTCTGGACCCGCCGATGGGCTGGTTGGAGCTATAGACCGTTGGCGAGCCGAATATGGGCGTTCCGGGATCCTTTTCTGAGCCGTCCACTCGAGGGAGGGCGCAGCCTGAGGAGTAAAAGGGAAACGAGAAGTGAAGAAAACGAGGAATGCAACTCTGTGGGTTGCATATTGAGGAACCTTGCAGCTCGTATGCGGTGCCACCAGGATGACGATGGTGGTTGTGATTAGGATGATGGGGAGGACGACGACGTAATGGACGATGAAGAAGTGCACATTGCCTCCTGGGGACCACTTGAGGACCACTTGGGGACCACTTTGGAGCCTCTTGGGGACCACTTGGGGGCCTGTTTTGGGCCTTCTCGGGGCCTCTTTCGGCCTTCTCGGGCGCCTGCTGACGGTGTCGGGGTCCCTTTTGGGCGGAGGGTTCGGAATGTCAGCTTGAGCTACCCACTTTGGGCCCTCTGGGGCTGTCTTGATCGACTCTTGGGCAGTCTTGAGGCCTCCTTGGGGGCGTCTTGGTACGTCTTGGAGCGATCTTGGCGGCCTCCTGAGCAGTCTTGGACGCAGTTGAGGCAAAGAGGCGACCATGTCAAAACTATGCGTTTCCCGTAAGGATTGGGACGATGGTTGCTTCGTGGGACCTTCTTGGGGTCTTCTTGGAGCCTTCTTGGCGCGTCTGGGAGGCCATCGTGGTTGTGTTCGAACTCTCCTCGGCGTGTTGGAGCCCAGCTTGCGCCAGCCGAGATGGCATCATGGGCATCTGGAAGGCCACGGAGTTTAGGTTTGGAGGCTCAGGAGGCCCTGGGGTTGCGTCGAGGAGCCCGCCCTCCCCCCCGCCCCCTGGAGATGCAATTCTGGAGCCCTGGGGGGGAGGAGGCCCAATGTTTCAGTCGCCCTTTCGACCCCGGCAGGTGGGGGTCGGCGGACGCTGTACCGTTCACCGAGCGCGCTCCATTGCTCACAAAGTGCCTCCTCGCAAACGCTAGGACAAATCATGCGATGTACCCCGATGTAACGCATCATCATGAATCACCCACGGCGGATCCAGGGCATTTGCGAGTAGATACCCTGCGCATAGTGGAACGCGCTGGTCGAACCGCTCGAGCAGGAGCTCCCGCGAAAAGCACGAATTCTTTACGCTTCGCGTATCCCCACCAGCCCAGCTCACAACAGCAACTCTTGCGAAGCATGCCGACAGTCGTGTTTTTCAGGCGTGTTTCCGCTTGCCCCCGCATATCTCCCCTGTTCCTCCTTCCTCCCGCCTCCTTGTACATCCTCCTCGTGGGGGGAGCGGGAGAAGGACGAGGCGGAGGAGGAGGGAGAGAAAGCGCTCCTCGTGGTTTGAGTCGTTTGGAGTTTCTCGTCCTGGTGTGAGTCGTTCGGGCCCTTCTTCCTGGTGTGAGTCGTTCGGGCTCTTCGTGGTGTGAGTCGTTCGGGCTCTTCGTTCTGGTGTGAGTCGTTCGGGCTTCTCGTGGTGTGAGTTGTTCGGGCCCCTCGTCCTGGTGTGAGTCGTTCGGGCCCCTCCTCCTGGTGTGACTCGTTCGGGCTCCTCGTGGTGTGAGTCGTTCGGGGCCCTCGTCGTGGTGTGAGTCGTTCGGGCTCCTCGTGGTGTGAGTCGTTCGGGCGCCTCGTCCTGGTGTGAGTCGTTCGGGCCCCTCCTTCTGGTGTGAGTCGTTCGGGCTCTTCGTGGTGTGAGTCGTTCGGGCCCCTCGTCCTGGTGTGAGTCGTTCGGGCTCCTCGTGGCGTGAGGCGTTCGGGCACCTCGTCCCCTTTTGGGGCGTCTTGGGGGCCTCTTGGCGGCCCCAGGGGCTTCTAGGAGCGTCTTGGGTGCCTTGGGGGAGCCTCTTCGGGCCTCTTGGGAGCCTCTTGGAGGCCGTTTGGGGCGTCTTGGGGGCCTCTTGGCGGCCCCAGGGGCTTCCAGGAGCGTCTTGGGTGCCTCGGGGGAGCCTCTTGGGGCCTCTTGGGGGCCTCTTGGGGGCATCTTGGGGGCCTCTTGGAGGCCTCTTGGGGGCCTCCTGGGGGCCTCTTGGGGCCATCTTGGGGCCTCTTGGTGCCCCCTGGGCGCTTCTTGGGGCCATCTTGGAGGGAATCGATCACAGAAGAGGGGAGCTTTAATGAGCGCTGCCCCCTCAGAAGGGCAAAATGGGGCCAAAACCTTCGTAAAATCAATGATTTTGCCTTGAAAGAAGAGGGGAGCTTTAATGAGCGCTGCCCCCTCAGAAGGCCAAAATGGGGCCAAAACCATAGTAAAATCAATGATTTTGGCTTCAAAGAAGAGGAGAGGGGTTTTTCTGCCTCCCCCCGTCGGGGCCAGAATCCTCGTGAGGGGTGTCGTTTTTTAGCCCTCCCAGGAGTCGAAAATGACCCCCCTGACGACCCGCGAGGCGCCCTCTCCAGGCCCAGGGGGAGGGGGTAGGGGGAGGGGTAAGCCCCTCCCCGAAGGGGAAGAAGGGGGGTTGAGAACAGAGAGAGCTCGCTAAACCACTCACGCCCAAAGGGCTGGTGGGATTATGCGGTAGATAATTGTTGTAGTCGATCTCATATTCGAAACGCTCTTAGCTTGCAATGGTTTCTCCCACGGACGGCGCCGCAGGGCGGCACGATGGCGGCTCCCGGCGAGGCGGCGGCCTTCAGGCCGCGGCCGCCGCGGCGAAGCGCCCTGCCCGCACCGACGACGACAACGACGACAACGACGACGACGACGACGACGACGACGACGACGACGACGACGACGACCCCGACGCCGACGCAGACGCCGACGCCGACGCCGATGTCGACCCCCACGCCGATGCCGACGACGACGGCGACGACGAATACGACGACGGCGGCGGCGGCGGCGGCGACGACGACGACGACGACGACCACGGCAGCGGCGGCGGCCGCTGGCGTTGACCCCGAGCAGTCTTTTGTATCGCGCTCTCGCTGGGCATTCCGTTTGCTCACTCTTCTTTGCGATCGTCCTTCTTGTTCTCTTCCCCTCGGTCGGTCATTGTGCTTGATTTCCTCGTCGTAGTCCTCCTGCTCCCTATCGCTATCCTCCTCGCCCTCAACGTTGTCCTGGTCATTTGCCCAACGAGCCCAACGCACAGAAGCGGCTCTTCCCGTTCTTATCCGCCAGGTTGGGCTATCTCTAGCTCGATGTGCAGCCTCTGGGGTGCAGTCCGTGAGAATGGTGCAACCCGAGCGTTGCAGCTCAGATCGTGCAAGTCCTGCCTCCGAGCCAGCGCAGCACTGTGTGGCGATGCCTGGAGCGCCGAGGGCAGTGCAGTACAGTCGGGGCCCTGAAGCAGGAACCCTGTTCGTTGGGAAGTGGCTCGGTGTTCCTTGATTGTTTTACAGCTTGCCCTGGGTTCTCCTTTTCGACAGGAAATCGAAGGTTAACTTCTGGAAAAAAGAGGCCTCGTTCCTTAGTTAGGGTTCCTTAAGTCAATGCCCCGACTGTAGCACGTGGCATCGCTGTGTATCTTCCTTGGGGGCTACCTGCCTGGGCAGGTTTGGGGCTGCCTTTGGCTCCCGTGGAGCTCCTTTCGATGGGCCATTGGGCCGCCTTGGTGCTGCCTTGGGCCGTCACGGGCCCCATCTCGGGCGTCTGAGGAGTCTCTTGGGACCGTGTTTTGGGGGCCTTTTGGGGTCCTCTCGGGCTGTCCTGGCCGCTCTCGGGCTATTTTGGGGCTGTCTGCATCGGCTTCGCGAGTACAGTATGCAATATTTGATAGTTCCGACACGTGTTGTATGTGCTTGGCTTTTGTTTTGATGTTTCGGAGGCCTCTTGGGGCCCCTTTGGGGCCTCCTTTTGGAGCTGGCAGGTGCCGCTGGAGGCAATGGTTGGCCATTTGGTGGCTTTGGTGGCCGTCCTGGTCTTTCTTGGATGCCTTTGTCGGTCCGCCCATGAACCCTCGGTAGGGAGGCGAAGCGTGGTGCGTGGGGGTGGGGGCTTTGGAAGACGGGCAGGACACCAACCAGACAGCAAGTGGCATTACCACGCCTCAACGTTCCAGGAGGTACGGTGGCAGATCTGGCGCAATGCATGTGGTGCGACATATGCCCTGCAACGTATAGGACGGCACGGATGCTGTGCAAGCTACATGGCACAAGCTATGCGGTGCAAGTTGAGCGGAGGAACCTGTGAGGTACCATCTCTGGGGTGCAGTTCACCCGCCGCGCAATATTCGTGCGTGACTACTCCCATGCTCGTGCGAAAATCGCATCCACCCATTCGCAACTTGTTGGCGAAGTTCACATTGCCATGACCTCAATGAGCGCAGACGAGTCCTTCTACCAGGCCGTGAATTGCTGGTGGCGACGGTAACGGGCGCGACGCCACCGACGATGGTGATGACAGTGGTGATGACGCTGATGCCAATAGCGATGACAGTGGAAATAGGGGCGATATTATGGCGACGACGACGACGGTGATGCTGATGAAAATGGTGGTGATGCGGACGACGGTTGCAACGCTGACGCGGGCGATGATCGTGGTGTTGGCTATGATGATGGGGAAGTGCCCGCGCGCAGAATTTGACTAGAGCGACGATGTCAACGATGATAGCGGTGACGATGATCCCGACGATAGTGATGATGATGTTGCTGCTGCTAACGATGATGAAGATGATGCCGATGGCGATGACAATGATGACTGACGATTGTGATGACGATCGTCCTGCTGAGGATGATGAGAATCTGCTCGCCCGCAGAAATCCGGACGTCGTGACATGTTGTTCTTGAACACACTTTTTCGGGGGTGGACGGAACTCCCACCCTGACACGTCGACTAGTGAATTGTCCGTTTCGGTTCTCGAGAGGGCGCCGTTTCCGTCATTTTCCAGGCGTTCGCCCGCCAGGTTTGGGCCCGAGGTCGTTTTCACCAAACCACGCTTTGCTAAAGGGGGTTCTGTCCATCCCCTATCTTTGGTTTCGTATATGTCTGAACGCTTCTGTGCTGCCGGTGGAGGAGGGGACCCGTTGGCTCCATGGGAGTGCGGAGGGCCAGGGGGTTGCGGAGGAGGAAGGGGGAGGCCGACGGGCAGGACGATGGGGGAGGCGCAGGAGCAGGAGGAGGAGGAGGAGGAGGAGGAGGAGGAGGAGGAGGAGGAGGATCGGCGAGGTTGGAGGCGGACGAGGACGCGGCCCTCCGCGGGGACGCTGCTGCGGGGAGTCCCCGTGCCACGCTGCGGCCTCGGACTGAGCGCCTCTGTGCCGAGTCGGGCGCGCGAGCTCCGCGGCGTTGGACGGCGGCTTCGCGCCTCCGCGAGCGCGAAGGGGACGCGCGCGCGTGGCCGCCGCGTGGTCCGACGGAGTTTTTGTTGGGTGGTCGCGCCCGTGGCGGTGGACTGCGTTCGGCGTGCGCGCGCAGGTGGCCCGCCTCCTCCTCCTACCTCCCCTATCTCCTGTCCCCTGTTTACCATCCTCCTCGTCTCCCCTCCTCTTCCTCCTCCTCTTCCATCACCCCCTTACCTCCTCCCTCCTCCCATGACTCCTCCTCATTTCCTACTCCATCCTTCACACTCCCCGGCATCTCCCTATATCCCTTCCACCTGTCCTCACCATCTCCTCCTTGCCCTCCTCGCCCCACTCCTCCTCCTCCTCCCTCCATCTCCCTCCTCCCTATTGTTCTGCCCCTCCTCTCGGGCCTTCCTCCTCCTCTTGCCGCTCTGCTCCTGAGTCTTTCCTTCATCTACCTCCTCCTCCTCTCCTCCTCCTCCTCCTCCTCCTCCTCCCCCTCTCCTCCTCCTTTTACCCCTCCATCCTCCTCCTTCATCCTCCTCTTCCTCCGCATCCCCCCATGCGAACTCAGTCCCCCTCCCCTCCTCCTCCCTCCTCCCTACATTCAGCCTTCTCGTCTTCCTCACACTTCCTCCTTCTTCCTCTTTTGCTGTCTCGCTCCCCTCCTACGCCCCTCCTCCTCCTCACCCTCGCCTCTTAACTCCTTCTCCTCCCAATACTCTCTCTCCTTCATCTCCTTATCCTCTTCCTTTTCCTCCTCCTTCTCCTCCTTGGTTGTGGCCTCACCTGCCTCGACTCACCACCCACCAAAACCACCCCAAACCAAACCCGGAGGCCTCAATTTTGTTTTGGACAGTGCGCCAGTGGATCACCCTGAATACCACTAAAGCGGGGGGGGGGGGGTCCAGAACCGCCCCCCCCTCCCTCCCTCAAGGGGGGAGGGGTTCCGGGACCCCCCCCCTCCCCCCCTTAGGGGGGGGGGGGGGGTCCCGAACCCCCCCCCCCTCCCTCCCTTGAAGGGGGGGGATCCGGACCCGAAATGGAACGAATTACAACCGACTAGTCCCAATTCCAACCGTTCGGAGCGAATTGCAACCAGAAATGAGACCAATTCCAACCAGAAGTGAGACCCATTACAACCATGGATGGGATCTTCGGAATTCCTCCGGATTCCTTCGGATTCTTCGGAATTCCTCAGGATTCCTTAGGGTTCTTCGGAATTCCTCAGGATTCCTTCGGATTCTTCGGAATTCTACTACTACAACTACCGCTAGTATCACTACTACTACCTACTACTACTACTACTACTACTACTACTACTACTACTACTACTACTACTACTACTACTACTACTACTACTACTACTACTACTACTACTACTACTACTACTTACTACTACTACTAGTATTATCACTGCGACTACTACGACTACTACTACGACTACTACTACTACTACTACTACTACTACTACTACTACTACTACTACTACCACTCCTTCTACTACTACTACTACTACTACTACTACTACTACTACTACTACTACTACTACTACTACTACTACTACTACTACTACTACTACTACTACTAGTAGCTACTACTAATAGGAGGATCCCTTTCGCATATTTTAGACTCGATACAATTCGGTGCGGTTTTGCTTACGCTTCGGTGCCCTCTTGCTCATCTTAACACAGTGCTCGTGCGCAGACCAAAACTGAGACCAATTCCAACTCTAGCACGTATGTTTGCTTCCAGAACCTCTGCGTTGACATAAGAGGTGTCACTTGGTCTTCACAGTCGTCTTGTGCTTCTCTACAATTAAAATCCTATTGTGAGGCTATCCCAAGCAGGTTGGGATTGGGCCCAGTTTGCTTTTCGCACTGGTTGGGATTGGTCCCAGTTGGTAGGGATTGGGCCCAGTTGGTTGGGATTCGGCCCACATGCGTTCCGGACCCCCCCCCCCTCCCCCCCTTTGCGCTGAAAAGGGGGGGGGCGGGCCCCTCCCTCCCCTCGTGTAAGGAGTACGGAGTTGGGAGTAGGGCGTGGTGAGTAGTGAGTAGTGAGTTAGTGCGTAATGGGTAGTGAGTATTGGGTAGCGAGAAGTGGGTAGTGAGTGGCGAATACGGAGTAGGGAGGAGGGAGTGGGGAGTAGTGTGTAGAGAACAGTGAGTAGTGTGTACTGACAAGTGGGTAGTGAGTGGCGAGTAGTGAATAGTGAGTAGTGAGTAGCGAGTAGCGAGTAGTGAATACTGAGTACGGGGTAGGGAGTAATGATTAGTGGGTAGTGAGTACTGAGTAGTGAGTAGTGGGTGGCGAGTAGTGATTAGTGAGTAGTGAGTAGTTGGTAGTGCGTAGTGCGTAGTGCGTAGTGAGTAGTGAGTAGTGAGTAGTGAGTAGTGAGTACTGAGTATCGA